TTTTTTTTTTTTTTTTTTCATTTTGTACTTTTGTACTTTTGCACATATTGTAAAACTATGCTACACCCATTTTACCATCGCCACCACCTCCATTATCATTTGAAATGAAGTGTATTACACACATCTTGTCGCCTATTTCCATTGCACCATGGCTAACGATCCTGCCACTTATAACATTTACCATCACTATCATTGTCACCATCACCCCTTGTAACATTTATTTTTACAATGTCATCGTTGCTACTGCTTATTGTCATCGATCTTATATGTATGTTGTAAAAGTTTATGCTTATGCTAATTTAGCTAACCCATCTTTGAATCGTGTACAATAATATAAAAGGACCTTAATTAAGTATGTTAGGCCTTATCCTACAAAGCTTCAGTCACTTGCCACAAGGCAGCAAGTTAACAAACCACCTCAAGCAAGCACTCAACATCATTCACTTGACTAACCCAATCGAGACCATCAAAAAGAGGAAGTTGAAGTGATGCATCACCTCAACAGAGGCACCATGAAAGACTGAACCTGCATGGTCAAGGCAAGGTGCCATGATCTGCTATATCCCATAGCCTTTGATATGACAAAGGCATTTCCCTAGTTTCACCTCTTCTAAGAGTCCAACGCTAACTACTTCACCTCTTTCATAATAAAAGTTCACATCTAGTATCATTTTAAAAGTAACGCTATTTTACACTCACATTTTGTAACTCAGTCTTCATTGTTTCCTCTCGACAATACGAAGCTCGTACGCATACTTGTGGTTCATGTCTTCCGTCCATCCTACACCTATATATAAGTTGATTGGCTTGATCGTCAAAGTGCTTGTGGAAGACCACATACTTCTAACGATTTGTCAAAATTTGTAGAGCCTTATGCATGGATTTCATAAGTCCTCAAACCTTGCCCTAACTCAAAACTAGTCCTACAACTTTTTGGTAACTACATTTTAGTCTTCAAACTTTGCTTAAACTCAAAACAAGTCCTACCACGTTCTAGTAATTCCATTTCAATCCAAATATTTCTGGTAACTACAAATCAATCCTCAAGCTTTGCATTAACTTAAAATAAGTCATACAACTTTCTACTAATTTCATTTCAATCCAGAACATTCTGGTAGCTACAAATCGATCCTCGAACTTTTCCTTAACTCAAAACTAGTCCTACAGCTTTCTATAAATTCTAATTCAGTCTAAATTTTTTTGAAATCTACATTTTCAATCCTTGAACTTAGTTATTAACATGAATATGTCCTCCAACTTTCCATTCACTTAAAACTAGTCTTACAACTATTTTTCTAATTCCATTTCAATCCAAAACTTTCTTGCAACTATAAATCAATGTTCCATCTTTCTATTCACTTCAAATACGTCCTTGAACTTTCCTTAACTTAAAACCCTTCCTCCAACTTTTTATAAATTCCATTTCACTCTAAAACATTCTGGTAATTACAAATCAGTCCACGATCTTTTTGTTACTACAAATATATCCTCGAACTTTGCCTTAATTGAAACTATCAAAAAAGAGTGATATGGTCAGCTAACTATTATAAAACTATTATCCAGCCCTCCATTTATTAGTAAATAGCAATTTGGTCATCTAACTATTGGAAAACAACAATACAGCCCTCCAACTGCTAGTGTAATGCAATTTGGTTCTTAACCATTAAGAAGCAACAAATTTATCCTCTATGTGTTACAAACTACAAATAGTGATTTGGTCATACAACTACTGTAAAACATTCATTTACTCCTCAACTATCATTAAACAACAATTCGACTATCAAACTATACATGAGCAACAAATTAGTCCGCGAACTATTGTTTAACATCAACTTTTTTCACCTACTATTATAAAATAGTGATTTGATCATCCATCTATTAGATAATTTCAAACCAATCCTCCAACTATTAGTAAATAGTGATTTGATCATCCATCTTTTACATGATGGTACATTAGTAACTACTGCAAACAGACAATGATCCAAACTATTCATAGGCCATAATTTGGTCATCCAACTATGCTAAAGTTGTATTTTGGTGAATAAAGAATAAAGAATAATTTCATACACCAACTTTTGTAGTCAACAATTTGGTCCTAGAACTATACAATTATGACATTTTGGTCCCCAACTATTTTATGGCTACAATTTCATCCTCCAACTATTTGTAGCAACAATTCATTCCTCCAACTATGATCAAGCGGTAATTTGGGCCTAAATACCTGGAGACAACAATTCGATCCTCCAACTATGCTGAAGCAATTATTTGGTCCTACAATTATTCTAATGCAATTGTTTGGTCCATCAACTACTGAATGGCTATGAATTTTTCCTCAAACTATTAGTAGGCGAAAATTATTTTTTCCTCCACCTATGTTGAAGTTGCAGTATGGTCATACAACTTTTCGATTTAATAATTTGGTCCGGACGCTAATTCACAGGCCACAATTCGGTACTTCAACTATGCAGAGGCAATAAAGTTGGTCTTTTAACTATTTATGGGCAACAATTCGATCCTCTAACTATGTTGTAGCGACAGTTTAGTCCCCGTATTATTTAGAAATGACAATTTGGTACACCCCGTTTCCATTAAAAATTCCCTCACCCAAATCCCTTTATCCCCGATCCACCACCTCCGCCGCCTATCCCGGCCACCAAATCGCCTTATCACCACGCCAGCAATGTCTTTTTGCTCAAATCACCATCACATCCGATAACAAAACACCATAGATTTAAAATGAACAAAACAGAATCATGTTGTAACAACAAATTTAAAGGTAAACATTACGGTTAATTACAGAAAAATCACGTTATAATCTCTAGATCCGATGTCTCTAAAGGAAATAAGTGAATAAACCATTGTCGCCTCCATCTGTTTGCAAGATCTTCAGCTCATCATCACCACCTGAAATTTCAGATATAAATTCGGGTCAAGAAGGAGAAGATCCGACTGCTGGTGGTGGTGGTTTAGGGGTGAGGAAGGAGAGGAGTAGGTGGAGGAGGTGGAGTGGACGAAAGGCAAATTATGAAAATGAGAATTTTGTGAAAAAGAAAAGGATGCAAAATAAGCTTCATAAGGGGGCTTTAGTTTTGTTTCAAAGGGCACAAAAAATTAATTTGGAAACTAATATGTTCATTATTTCCCCGGTGCTTTGTGCTTGTGCCTCGGTTGCTTTAATGAAACGGAAACAAGTGCATGCTGTGGGGTGTAAAAGTCGTTTTGGTATAAATATTTATGTCGCTTCTGCTCTCATAGATGTTTATGCAAAGTGTGAAAGCATTAAAGAATCTTATATTGTGTTTTCAAATATAGAGGAGAACAATGTTGTGCTATGGAATACAATCATTTCAGGTTTTGCCAGCATGCTAGATCTTTGGAGGTTTTGAGAAAATGTAGCAGATAGGCTTGTACCCAAATGAAGTTACTTATGTTTCAGTATTATCAGCATGTCTTCATATGGGGTTGGTCAAAAATGGGCACAAATATTTTTGATACGACGAAGAAAGAACATAATCTGTCTACCAATATCTTAAACTACTCGCGTATGGTTGTTATTCTTGGTAGGACAGGCCTAATCGATGAAGCTAAGGATTTAACTGACAAAAAACCATTTGATGCTACTGCTTCCATTTGGGGATTATTTTTGGCTTCCTGCAGGGTTTATAGGAATGTGGAGTTGGCTGAGTTAGCTGCTAAAAAAGTTGTTCGAGATTGAACCTAATAATGCCGGAAATCATGTATTGCTTTCCAACATTTATGCTGCCCACGGAAGGTGGGAGGATGTTGCATTTGTGAGGAAGCTTCTTAAAAGACAGCAAAATCAAGGAGAGAGGAAACAGTTGGATTGAAATCAAAGACAAGGTTCATTGTTTCATGGTTGGCTATGTCATCAAAGGATTGCTGAGATTTATTCAAGGTTGGATAAATTGCTGGAAGAGATGGAGAATTCAGGATACAAAGGTGATATTGAACATGATCTACATGACGTTGAAGAGAGTTACAAAAAGGAACTTCTGAAGCACCACAGTGAGAAGATGGCTTTTACTTTTGGGCTAATGTGCTTACCTTCTGATGCACCTATAAGGATCGTGAAAAACCTTAGAATCTGTGGGGAATGCCACACTTTTATGAAGGTTGCTTCAGTTGTAACAAGAAGGGAAATCATTGTTAGGGATAATAATCGCTTTCACCATTTTAGTGAAGGACATTGTTCATGTGGAGAATTTGGTAATATGAATGCATGATATGGAAGCTTGTTCTGGATTATGTATTCCATCTCATCTATAAGAGGTTGGCTCTACAATTTTTGAGTATTGTACTCCATTGGTGTTTCCTTCATGAAAGTGGATTAAGAAATTTATTCACATGTATGAACTCTTGTCAGGTTGTGTAGATTCATATTTATAGCTCAGTGACATAATTCACTATGGCTGACGGTCAAGAAAATTATAAGAACATTGAAATATGGAAAATAAAGAAATGGATCGAGGCTCTGGAAGCTGCTAGAGGAAATGGTACCAGCATGATCTTCCTGATCATACCCCTTTTTGATCAAATATCTCAGGTCACTAAAATGCTTGCAGAAGAGTATGGAACAGCTTCAAATATTAAGAGCAAGGTGAATCGTCATTCTGTGTTAGGTGCAATCACATCTGCTCAGTAGAGGCTTAAACTTATAACAAAGTACACCCGAATGGATTAGTGCTCTATCCTGGAATTATACTGACTGAAGACGGAAAGGAGAAGAAAGTTACCTTTGACCTCTAAGCCCATAAATGCCTCTTTATACCTTTGCGACACTAAAATCTGATGCAAAGTTTGGGTTCATTGTCCGGGATGGAAATGACACTCGTTTTAGGACCTTAAATGGTAACACTTAAGAAGTGCTTCACAAATTTCAGTAGACCTTCTAAAGAAACACAGAAGAGGAGGACAATCAGCTCCTAGGTTTTCTCGTCTTCGAATGGGAAAACGCCACAATTATATAAGAAACACAGCAGAGCTTGCTACTCAATTCTGTTCGAAAAAATAAATAAATTGAAGGGCTGAACTTGGCATAAATTTTGAGTGGACCTGTTTGTTTATTTTGGAATATCAAGATTGATTCATGTTCTCCTCCGTTAGAATATCGAAATCATATATTTACTTACCAAAAATGATGCTTGGATGAATGAAAAATTAGAGCTCAAAGTGATGTCGATTTCAAAATTCATTCGGTCTTTTTGTTATTTCCTGCAATTTAGATTACTTGGTTCTTTTTTTTTTTAATGTAAATAATAAAATTATTTAATCTGTAATATTTTGGCTAACAAAATCATTTATAACCTTGTAACGAGCCAACCGAACGTATCAGGATTAATCTGGATCAGCTGATTTCAAGACTGACCTAAGCCAATCCGACATGTTTGATCCTGGCCTCTAGGCCAAGACATTTAGGGGGTGTTTGACACCCATTTTAGTAGAAAAATGCGTTTTAGAATAGTGATTGATGGAAGAATGTGTGGTTAAAAAGTAAGGAGAATTTTTAGATTTATGTGTAATATTATTTTGTTGATAGAATGTGTGATTGAAATGAAGAAAGAGAAAAAAAATGAGAATAAGAATGAGAAAATGGTTTCAATGAGGCCATTGAATTATCTGCTGAATCTCTTTCCAGTGGGAATTTCGTATGAGAAAAGTGCTTGATTGGGAAGGTTTTTTTCTTTTTTTTTTTTAAATTTCTGAAGAAATCAGTCAAGATACTGGAATTATGTTTTTGGTGTCGATGACATAAGCATTGGATCGATATGGGAGCCGCAGAAACATTGATTCTACTGAAAATTTGAATATAAATTGTTATGTGCTCAAAAACAACACAACGAATGAGATTGTCATTAAACACTTGAACAAGGATCAGGAGGGTGACCAGAGCAACTTAAAGGATTTAGAGACATCTGCTGAATTGGAGGTTGCAGACAAAGTGCAATTGCTGGAGTGATTTGCTAACGAGTACAGAAACTTTGCCTGTACACTTGAGTTTGTCACGAACAATTCTCAAGAGGGATCACAGTTCTGCCGAGGATTTGGTGGCATTGGGGGAATTCTTCGCTACCAAGTTGAGGTTTGATATTTTGTCATTTTGATGGGCCATCTGATGATGAAGGATTGTACAAGGATTCAGATTATGTTGAGCTGATACTGATGATCATGAAGCAAAGACGACAAAATGTTCAAGTGCTTGAAGTTGCGTAGCTTGCAGTACCTCTGAGTTTCCAGTTATTATGAACTATATCAATTTGACATTTTTTTAATTTGATCTACTTAATATTTTCTTGGACGAAGGGGTATCCAGTATCATCTGGTGGTTTATGAAACTTTATGTTTTACTGATTTTTTTCTTCACTATTACAATTTCTTGATGATTGTCACTACTTGAAAAGATTCACGGCTTGTCATATTCTCAGTATATATATCATGAAAAATAATTTCAAGAATACGATATTCTGTAACTTGCATCTTTCTCCGTAGGACAAAGATACTTTTCCTTTTGTTTGAGTGAGAACAAAAAGACAATTTTGTCCTTCAAGATTGCTTCCAACATCCCTTGTGGTACACTCTGGTCTGGGGATGAATGAGGTGTAAAATGGTCCTAGTATGAGCTCAGATTGTCCTTTTTATATATCCCCTTGAATTTTAAACTCTGCACCTCTCAAATGAATTGCAATTATTGTTTAACATGTTCGTGATACATATTAGTAGCACAGGTTTTTGGAAATAGAAGAAAGATATAGCACGCGCACCCACAAAGAAAGAAGATCGGTCGAAGCTCAAAAAGAATTTTTTTTAGTTAGAAAAAAAAAGTTTATGTAAATTAGCCCGGCCTGTAATCCGGTCCTGGATCCGTCCCTGACTGAGAGTAAGTTGAAGATTAAATGCTAAATAATATGTGTATTCTCTAACCGCTTAAACTTTTAGATCAAGTGCTTGATTCCATTCGTGGCCAACAGTAAACGTTTGCCAGTGAGAAGGGAGAAGGGAGAAGAGAGGGTAAGAGAGCAAAAATCTCTGTTTTCCATTGTCCATTAACATGTAGTTCAAACCTAGAATAGTATACAGAAAATAAAATATATTATAAGTTAAGTTTGTACATTGATGGTATCATCTTCATCATGAATTGCCATTTGACCTAGTGCTGGAGACAGAGGAGAAGGAGGAGAAGAAAAATCAGAAGCGGCAGAAGAATACGAAGTCGAATCAGAAGAAGAAGAAGAAGAAGCAAATCCAATGATCAAATCCACAAAAGCTCCAACTATAAATCCATGATTCATCTCTCCATTCATCCTCAAATACCATTCCAACAATTCCTCTAAGCATTCCCAGTCCTTCAATCCATGAGTGTCCACCATTTCTTGCATGGATTTCTTAAAATCCAAGTAAGGATCATCTGATTCCATTGCAAGGACAGCACTTCCTTTGAATGGCAAAACTTCTTTATTCGTCGTTTTCACCTCGTCTAAGATTGAACTTGTGTCTCCTGCAGGCTTGAACAACAGCCTGCTGCTCTCTGATCTCGCCCCGCGAATAATCTTCTCCAATGATTGATCGCCTCCTGAATTCTCCTCTGATTCAGTTGAAAAGCTGGCACACTCCGATGAATTCGTGAACCAAGACTCTGGTGTTGCAACCCCATTAGACGGGTCGTAAAAAACCGAGTTAACCGTCTTGAAGATGTCGTCCCCGGCTCGAAAAGAAAGAGTTTTTGGTTGCTTGCATGAGGGCCATTCCCATTTCTGCTTATTTGCTTCTTTGTTCTTGAAAATAGAAGGAATCAGCTTCATTNTATAAACTAGAGGTGGAAGGAAGGTGGAAAGAAAATGGGAACTGGTAGGACATCTCATGTCTGTATTAAATGAAAATAAATGCAAGCTCACAACAAATGGAAGCAACAATACTGTTGTTTTTTTATATAATTAATATTTCATTTGTTAAGTTTAATGTGGTCAGACAGCCAAATGCATCCTCCCATTGATAAGTATCCAATAATCTCTTTTTTGCATATAATTCATATCTGAATTATTATAATATCTGCAAACACTGAAGATTAATTTGTATATTTTTATAGTCTATCACAATAATTCTTTCTTGTAGGTTCTCTGAAACTAGACGGGTGACTGAAGAGTGAGACTTTGGCTACAACAGAAGATATGGATACTGTTTTGAAGTAAAAAAATTATAAACTAACACGATATTTTTACCATTTACAACTATCACGAAAACTTCTTATGAGGATTACAGTTACCATGAACAAAGGTTTATAATCGAGTAAATAGAACTTAGTTTACGGCATATTCAGTACGATGAATTGATAAGTATTACATGGTATTAAGCCTTGTTTGATGTTCATTCTTTAAAAAATTATTTTTTTTCGAATTTATTTTCAAACATATATTCTCTCAATAAAATAATCCTATGCGTAAATTCAAAATTTTTTCTTACTTTCGAACTGCACATTCCTAAAGAAAATCACTATCACAAAATAAATTATCCAGAAAATGGGACTAAAACAAATCCTAAAAATATTAATAAGTTTATAATCTATTCACACTCCCAGCCATGACAAAATCTCTTTTGAAAATGTCAATAATGATTTTTTATGCATCAATTTTTAAAATATCCAGTCCAAGGAAAATGAACATGCAGCGTCTGAATCAATCACCATTTAAAAAAAAAAAAAATTCCTTTCCATCCCTACAATTTCCCAAAATGACGAAGTAAATTTTATCTCTTGATTGATTGCATCAGGCCTCAGGTAAACATTTCTGACCATGGATTTGATTACTATGATACAGTAATATTGGAAGGACAAGTTGCTACACAGAAGCAGATGATTGAATCTCTATTGGGAAAAAAAATTCCAAAATAGGCCAGAAAAAGGCAAATATCATGTGGGATATTAAATGCAAGCATACTTGACCTTGCCAAACTATTTAAGAGGTATGAATGTTTGATATAACTGAGGTGACACCTCTTTTCTAGGTTATGATATTCCTAAAATCTGCATGATGATTAGTTCCACTAACAACTTGTTTAGTATGGTAAATCTAACAATGGTAAACAATAAATGTATACCAAAATTTTATTCAATGTATATATAATCTAGTTCAATTCAGTTTTGCATGACAAATTTTGGTCGATTGAGGGAATTCACGAAGTTCTTCTGAGCAGTAAGAACTTTGTAAATGCTTGTCACTTGTATTTATAGGTTAAGGCTTAACTTGAACTCTAGAATCATGTTTCATATTTGGCGATCGAACTATACTCGATTAAAATCTACATGGATTTAATTTCGTATCAAATAACTCCTTTATTATATGTTAGATATGCGCTTTGCAATTTCTGTTTCAATTTAATACATTTCTGTCACTAACTTTATGAATCGAACTCTCTTCCTTGGGCAGATAGGAATTGTGGCTTTTAATGGTCCTCTCTTCGCTTCACGTGATTGAAATGGACCCAAAAAGCGTGAAACTCATCACTACCTCGTAAGGACGTTGAGCCCACGGTATGTTACACGAAAGTGCCAGCTTCAGAACATCAATCTGGAGAAACTCACGCAGCGCTCACTGAGAAGTGAAAACATGTGACTACACCGTCCTAAGACGGATGCGAAGGGTAGATGTGGCATTTTGTTGCACGTTCCATCCTTTGACCCATCGCCTATCTCCTTGGTATAAAAGCTTTGATCCGTCGTCTCCACCAAATGGAAAGAGCCCCTCACACTCAAACTTGCTTGGTCCCCTAGTCTAATTGACTTTTATCAATAATGGCACACAAACTTTATTTTTGACCTCGATGGTGCTTGGTCCTTACGCAATAACGCTACAATGCAATAATAATTATTGTAGAATGGATTGTGCTTGGAGGATTAGGAAGATGCTCTATTGCGTCAAAAAAAAAAAAGGTTGGAAAATAAAGCGAAGGACAACAAATTCAATGTGCCTTTTTTTGAATAAATCATTTTTGTTTTTTCTAAACATGCTTTATTATTCAGGGTACATGATTTGCTGGCAATAATTGAATTGTCTATTAATCGAATGGTTCATATGTACTAATCAAGTTGACTAAAAAAAAAACTCTTTTCATGGCAATATTCGGTACATTTTGGAGTAGATTCTACTATAAATAACAAAAAATTGGCAATTTTTTTCATTATATCTTACGTAAGTCCAACATGTCAAATATACGGCCACATATAAATAATAAAATATATAATTATGTATGGCTCAACATTTGATACTTAGACAAAAATAATTCTAACGATATGTTAAATTAAATATGACTGAAACTAATGAAGAATAATGATGTACGAAATGGTTATATATTGTCCAATTGGTCATCTCTACTTACCAACTACTATACGTGATTGTATCGTAAAAATAACTTCTCTCTAATTTTTGTGGAGCAATATGATCAACGCGCGCACACAAAAAGAATATACGCCTCAATGTCTAAATCGTTTTTTATGTTCTAATTGTACATTAGAATGGACATGACTAAATATGATTAAGAAAAAATGACATGCAATATTATCTTTATTAAAGTGAATATTGCCTCAATTCAACCCTACTTTAAATTAGACACGACTAACTAATATGATTAAGAAACATGCAATAATAGATTTAAGAAATGTTTGTTGGTACTCTTGTTCTATTCTATTTACTAAACATGTTCTAATAGTACAAATTAAATGCAAACGAACTACAATAAGCATGTAATAACAATAATTGTAAAGGGGACAACCATACGTACTATTGTGATAATTGAATTGGAGCAAAACGGGGCATTTTTTTTAATTATTTATAGACAAAAAACGTGTGCCTCTGTGCAAGACTAATATCCTGTTTGATCCACATTCTTTCAAAACTCATTTTCAACCACACGTTTTTCAATAAAATAATATTTTCCATCACATCACTATTTAAAATACATTTTTCCCTTAATAATGTGCATCAAACATCCCGTAAATGTCTTAAATAAATTAACAGTTAGACTATCAATTTTATGTGGTTAATAAGCACAAAAATAGTTGAAAGAGTTGTCTACTAGGAATATTACTAAAATTGTTCAAACGTTGTATCCATGGCCTGAGAATAGATAATATCTCAACTCTAACTTCCATTATAGGAAGTAATGTGAACGACGACTTAACCTCACCAATAAAAGGTGAAGGGAAATGGTCCTCTAGTCCCTTGTGTCCACATAAATGACATGAGTCCAATCCGATACTCTTCTTTACTTCTTCTTTACTGGCCAGTTCGAGCAGCATAAATACATTTTTTGAATTATTTCTATTATTTTTGTTTCTCACCTTTTTAATTACAACGTTATCGCCTTTTTAAATCAAGTTTATAAACATTGAACTATAAACAATTTAATATTTCTTTCTTAGAAGAGTATACCATCTCTTGCTACATATCTAATGAATACTTTTGAAATCACTTGGACAAAGTCCATCTTATTAGGGATCAACTTGCATAAAAGCTATTTATGATGGAACACTAGTTTATGGAATTATCCATTTGGAGAAATAGGTTTTCGTGATATTTGTTCTCCAAAAGATTGAATTTTAATGACTAATTTTGAGTTCAATCATGCTACAAGTACATTTACTAATTGTCCTAATGGTGCACAAACATTAAAACAAGAATCATGTTACAAGTACATTAAGTTTCACATCAAGTTTTACATTGTTCCACGTGGCGCTATCACATTGGCAGTTTTTGAATTTAACACACTTTCCCTCCAAACCATTTTTGAATATACACACAATGTCAAACTTCATGTCACCCAAAGAATGTACAAGTGGCTTAATCCTTTTGAGTTTCACGTCTCTCGTGAAAGACATGTATTATGGGCTTCTATATACATTGTCCATTTTAATTTAATTTTACTTAATACTTGAGACATTAAAGAACGATTAAAACTACATATAAATTTAGAAAGATTAAACTACTTATACACACAAAGTGTACACCTTGATTAACACCTCCTTATGTGTCAAAATCTAACAGTAGAATAAAAAGGGTGCTATCAATATCAATGTACCAAGATCTGTCAACTTACATGGGCATAAATCAATGTATCAACTTATGTACATGTAACATGGTCCAATTTCAAAACCACACCGTGCAGCACGTGCGAACATGCACTCTCAAGATCGAGTGAGCAAGAAGTTTAGACATGTTTACTAAAACCTACATTTAACATTTTGAATAGATGAAAAACAACATTCGTTTTTTGTTTTCTTTTTTGGGTACAATAGAATATTGTCTACTTTCTTTGTAGGATTGAGATTATTGTATTCATATTCGGTTAATTTTGAAGATAGAAAGTAGGTGTATTTGAACTGTTTTGTCTCCAATATACCATCTCTTGTGATTTGTGGTAATCGTCTAGAGATTAGGCACATGCTACCTTGACCTTCCATCATTATAATTTTGAAGCTTAATCATCTCTTAATCATGTATTAATTGCAATAAAAACAACAAGATTATGTAACATACCCACCATTCATATTGTTTATATGTACATCCTGTCAAGAATTTATATCCATAA